CTATTTATTACATTCCTATAGTTCTGTATTAGAGCCAGATAATTTTAATTGTGAGGCTGAATTTTTTCAAGCCCCACCACAACTGAAATTATCCAGCTGTAATACATTGTAATATTCTGTAACCTTGTTGTTTTCTCTGTACAATCTGAGAATAAATGCCTCTTGACAAGACTCTATTATCCTAAAATACAAGTGAAATTTTGATAAGATAAATATTACTACCATATTTACCTCTATTGATTTCAAAAAATAAGATGAAAGCATTTAAAGTTATTGGTTATTTTGGATCCAGGAATTATAGTTTGAAGAGGGGAGGCCGACTCAGCATGTTAGGATAGAGAAAAAGCAACATTCTGTAGAAATAAAAATCTCACAAAAGKGTGCCATGTTTGCCTTCCCCTCGTGGTAAATATCCATCTAAATCCATCTAGGTTTCTCCTGGTAACTAAAATTAATTTCCATGCAGACTCAACTCACTTGTGTGCCTTGAAGACAACAATACCAGTAACAAGATGGATGGGCAGCTTTTTAGTCAACATGTCAACTACCAGAATACGTGAAGTTACAAAAAGAACACCTCCAGACAAATAGATGGACTCTCTAAAAAAAGAAAGAAAAAAAAAGAAAAAAATTGTTGAAATGAACAATATTAGAAATTTAAAATGTATTTGAAATTATTTTTACGAAAAATTTACTCACCTTTCTGAGGAGGTAAATTCTGTAGTGATGACTTTAGGTACTGGTACCCCTGCTGTTTTGAGCTCTTCAGTTATATGACTCTGATTTGATACAAGAAACATGGAATGAATGGATGGGAATGAATGGATGGGAATTAATGGATAGGAATAAATGAATGAACAAATAGTTTGTTTGYCCATCCACCAACAATCGAACCAWAGTACTTTTGAGACTTTCATGTGGATTGCCAAGGCCTATTGAGTGTGGTGAAGACATGTTTTCTGAGGTTTCCACATGAAGACGATTGAACGTCATTGGCAGTCCAATTCTTTCATTCATATTGTGACACCATTGTTTAAATTCCCTTCTCACATGCACTAAATGTTAAGGAAATACTTCTGAATTATAAAACTATCATCATTTTAAACATGTAAAAAAAAGCCCAATTCRAGACTTTCATTCATTACCAAGGTCTATTGAGTGGTCTATTCAGTCAATGTTAAGGTTCTTGATCTTGTATGGCAATTTTTTTTTTTTTAAATAAATTGATTTTTTTTTTGCTTTTGAAAGGGCATGGATAATCTTAGTGTATAGGAAAAACATACCTAACCTTTAAAAACTGAATTATCTTTCTAAATCCTGAATTATGAGCGTTTTTTAATCTTTGGAAAATTTGGAACCGAGCATGGCTGGAATGGACTGGACTTCGGTTTACTGGATTGTGCGGATCAAAAAGCGTTTTTACCTTCAATTCGCAGTTGTTATCCTATAATTTATATTTTAATATTCATAACTAATCATTGGATTTCAAAATTTGGTATAAAAAACAAGATAATTTTTTTCCATTACTGATAAACATATTGGATCTTGGATCACGAAACRTTTTGTTCCTTGTCTGCCCATCCAAAAATAATCCAACACTAGTACTTTYGTAGTCTCCCTCGCTTCGGTTTTTAGTGTCGGTCGTCACGCAAGCATTGCATAATCTTAATGTATAGCAAAAACATACTCAACTCCATTTTACATTCCCTACAGTGACAATGAATACTGTAATAGTTCCAAGTCAGTTATATTTGCCATGCATGATAACTACTGTTTTGCTATGTGCAGCCACAGCAAAATATCCAAACTCAATCTAGAACTATTATGTCGTGTTCACCGAATGAAAAGAAAGTAAAAAATATATGCATTAGATGCCCTTGATCTAAAGTTCCAAAGTCATAAATTCTTTCGCAGGGGGAGGGGTACTAGTTAAAATGGATTGCTGTATTTTACTGATTATATTGCTTGATAAGTATTGATGAAAAGTATATTACAAAGCATAGGATATTGATGGTTTTCAACCATTCCCAAGATAATTAAATRACAAAAGACAAGGCGGCCATGTTGGAGGATATAAAAAAAGAATTCATTGACAATTCTTTTGTTAAATTCCTCCAACATGGCCGACGTGAAAACCATCAATACGATATGAGTATTTTAGGATTAATTCAGTTGACAAACCTCTTCGTATTCCGATGCATTAACAACAATAACAAGAGCGGCTGGATCGCAGTACATCTTGAGAAAGTTTGTCAACACCTTGGATATGTTTATCCCCCTAAAACACACAAAAAGAAATATTTAAAAAAACCACTAAAAACCATAAGGATAATAGTATTGCTATCAAACCTAGCCGTGACAAAGAGACCATCTTCTTCTGTCAGCTCCAAAAACATGGCTGATTCAAAATCCAACAAACTTTGTGTCTCAGCCGCCATCTTGGAAAATGTTCTCCTGCTATTCATGGGTTCCCTGTGGTACAGTAGAAACCGCTGTTACACATTCCTATCGCTGGCTCATGTTCTATTTTCAAGATGGCGGACGCAGAGGTTGCTTTCACGTCGGACAGTATGGGGGATCATTTTTGTATTTCTGTGTGGGATCTTGGCTCTGGTATGCAGTTGAAGAGTTATAAAGGAGGTAACTGTTCGCCTCGTGCTTTAAGTCTCCTTGGGAATCAGTATGTTATGGCMGCACAGATGAATAAGTCTGTAATACACGTGTGGAATGTGGCTAAGGTCAGTCTTTTAAAATTTGTTATAAGAAATAATCATGGAACTGTGGAAATTTCAGCATAGAAGCCTCTTTTGATAACCTGTCGTTGGGCTGCCTGTGCCTGTAATTATCTATTGTTGGGTTGCCTGTGCCTTAGCAAATCAGTTAATCCCTGTCATTGAACAGCTCAGCTTGTTCAAGACAGGACAGCGTTTCCTACTATACATATATAATTCTGGTTATAAGTCCCCTGGTTATAATTATAGGCCTCCTCCATTGGATTACTGCCAAGCAGCACATAGACAATATGCTTGGATTATAATATTAAAGCTTTTACTTATTGTTACATGTTAACTCTGTGGTTAAATTAAAATGGACACAATTGATATATTCTCATTTATTCTTAATAGAACTAATTTGAGATATCTTTTCCTTCCATTTACATGCACCCCGTCCCCCCAACCCATGCCCAGTTATATAAGCTTTTTGAATAGAAGCCTATTTACCCAAAAAAACTCTTTCAAAGTTGTACGTAGAGTACAGTATAAGCYCAGCTAGGGCTTATAACTGGACTTTTACTGTATAGATGTTCACATAGGAGCAGTGTTATAGTGATAGTAGAAAATATGTTTTTATGTTTCATTGCCACAGGAACAGATGCATATGAAATTGATTTGTCCRGGCAAGATATCGGCACTTGCCAGTTCACCAGATGGTCACTACTGYGTGGTCTCTTGTGGAGAGAAAATATACATTTGGCAGGTAAAACTTCTCAAACTCTATTTAGAGTTTCTTATAAATTTAAAGTAGRATGTTTATTGATCACACTAGACCAGGCATAATGTTTTGGCTCATGCATTCTTGGTGTTGCAGGGCACTTGAGTAATAAAGATCAATAAAATAGCCAAGAACGATGGGTCTAGAGCAAGAGAATACCTTGCAATACAAAGAACTGCAACCCAGAATGCATGTACAATACATCTTGCAACACCAAGAAAGACCCAATATTTTACTATTTCAGACCATGTCATTCCCTAGAGTATGATTTCTTTGTTTAATTGTTGCACATGACAAGACACATGAATATGGATACAACTGAAACAAAAAATCTCATTCTCCAGAGAATGACATGTTGTCTGAAATGGGAAAACATTTAAACAAATTTTTATTTTTATTTTTGGAAGGTTGCTACTGGTAACTTGTTGGTCATACTAACAAGACATTTCCAGAGAGTTAGCTGTCTGAGGTTCACAGATACTGGTACTCACTTCTTATCTGGTGGTGATGATAATCTTGTCATGACATGGGACCTCTCACAGTTAGTATACTTAATATTTGGTCCATGTCAACTACTTGAGTTTCAACTCACATTTTGATTWTTATGGAGAGGAAAACTGGGTTCACTCCAAGAAAATTCTTGTGTAAAGGKAAGAACAACCTTTATTCACATTTGGGATCCATACATGTAGGAATCAAACCAGCCACCCAACCATCAGGACTCACTGGGGTTAAAGGCAAATATTTGACACCATCTATGCCACCCTACTAATTAAGTGACCAATAATGTGCTATGCCTAGACAAAGGAGAGTATAATTATTGTGCTTTGAGCAGTTCAAAGAAGAATTAATTTTTCAACCAATTTTAGTGCCATCGATTAAGAAGATTTGATAGGGGGGATTAAGGATGGCGTAACGGTAGTTCCCTCATGTACCTCTCACCTCTGAGGTCTTCGGTTCCTTTCCTGGACTTGGTATCACATGTCAGTAGATTTTTTTTTGGACTCTCACTTGATTCAAGGATTTTTTCTCCAGCCTCTATCTGTCTTTCCTACAAAATATAACAAGCTACATTTCAATTCTATCTGTGAGTTCTCAGTGCCCTGTATTTGATCAGCCCAAAGGTCATTTTAGTGTTTGGAAAAAAAAAGAATGATTAATGATTTCCAAAACTGGTGAGTCTAACTCGTAGAGTGATACAATAAGCCTACAGTACTTCTCTTGCATCATTTTCCATCCATCTTTCAGGGTGTTGTCAAAGATGTCTTTTYCATCACAACAAGAGMAGACAGCCACACCATACYATACTTGGTCTGACCATGCACTTCYGGTRACAGACATCCACTGCGGCTGTGGTGGAATGATGGCCCATGTAGTCACCTCATCTCTTGATCAAACTTGTAAAGTAAGAGAAATGAAATCCAAATTTTAGTTCTCAAATAATTTAACTTACAGTGCTTGCCAATCATTTTTGCACAAGAACATACAATATGCTTTCATGATTTATTCGATAGTTTGATCTTTTTAGTTCTCAAATAATTTAACTTACAGTGCTTGCCAATCATTTTTGCACAAGAACATACAATATGCTTTCATGATGAAATAGGGTTTTGATGGATGTCAATCACAGCTAGTGTTTCCATGACATGGTCAGAAAACACATCTCTTGATCAAACYTTTAGAGTAAGAGCAATACATAAAGCATTTTCTCAAGATTGCATATTGCGCATCCAACTTGACGGGCCAAAATTGAAAAATGCATATTCAGTAAAATTGAGAAGCCAGTTTTATATTTAAAGAGGAGAATAATCAATTTATGAATTCTTATCGAAAAATGTCATAGAAATGTATGATAATTCTCATCATAGAGCTCCTGTTCTGGTATCGTGGCCCATCGAGTTCCTTAACTTTGGATGCGCATGCAACCTCAGGGGCGGATCTAGGGGTGCCGAGGGGGCCACTGCCCCCCTTTAGCTGGCTGCTGGCCATTTTATTCATTTATTTACTTTTTTTTACTGCTTTATGCATGAAGGAAATTTGTTTTATTTTATTTTTTTAATTTGGATTTATTTTTTAGACAACCGCCCCCCCCTCCCCCTTTTGAAATTTCCTAGATCTGCCCCTGAACGTTGAGAAAACAGTCTATTTAACCTAAAGTGCTTCCCAATCATATAATTGCACAAAATCATGCATGCCTTCACGATGAAATTGGATTTTAGTAGACATCAATATAATCAAAGTTTTCCCATGACATTATTGGAAAACACAAAATTTTCAAGGGAATATGGAAGCTGATGGAATGTTATGGAAATGTTTGTTTAGAGCTACTAAATATATTATTGTTATCTTCAGTTATATAGCCTTGGTTCTGGTCAGCTTCTCTGCTCATTCGTATTTGACTGTGGTATAACATCAGTAACAACAGATTCTTCTGAGTTCAATTTGTTTGCTGGAGGAACCAATGGTTCCATATACCAAGTACATCTCTATAATCCAGTAAGTAGTTCACTAAAATCTTCCAGGAAATAAGGACTTTTTATTTCAATTTTGTTCTAGGCATTTGTTCTGAATATTATCTATTGCAGGCTTTGAAAGAAGAGAACCACTTTGAAAAGGAAACTCCATTGATCTTCAGAGGTCATAAGTARGTTTGATTTTCTTGTCTGCTTTTCCCTCCTTCTGTTCTTACATAAGCTAATGGTCTTGAAAAACATTCAAATTTTATCACAAATATACCCTGAAACAACCTCTGCGCTTATCAAAGTCAGGGCATGGCTAACTCACAGATCAAATAGGAAGAGATAACTAGTTAAAAACTAGTGTGAGCTGCATCGGTGTTTCTAATGAAACAGTAATGATAAAAAGGTAAATTATACACTGTGAAAAGATGAAAAATTAACTGATGTTTCGGATGCTAGTCCTTCATCAGAGTAAAAGGACAAAGGACTAGCATCCAAAACGTCAGTTTTCATCTTTTCACGGTGTATAATTTACCTTTTTATCATTACTGAGATCAAATAGGAATTTAGCCTGTTGGATWTTGCAGAGGGAGGAAAATCTGGGAACCTGGAGAAAAACCCTTAAATCATGTGATGCTGAGTCCAGAAATTGAAGCCAAGACTCTGGAAGTGAAAGACCAGTGTACTTCTGCTGCACCACCTTTAATTTTGAGGTGGGATCTGAGAGATCTGTTACTAACCATCAGTTTGTTAAATTCAGTAAACAAGTCACCAGTCTTGCTGTATCTATGGATGGTGCTCTGCTTCTGTCTGGTTCAACAGACTGCACAGCTCGTACATGGCATATACCAAGTCGGCAATGTACAAGAACCATCACTCATAAAGGTACTAACAGTTAACATGGCAATATACTAGCATTGACCTGGTTTCAGAGAGCAAAGAGCAAAAATTCCCAAGAGCAAATTGATTTTATTGTTCTGCCATCTAACCACAGGCAGTCCAAGCTGTATTATGGGCCCCGACATGTGATGGTGCACTAATTTAGTAGTGGTTGTAAGTTCTGGGACGTAAGCTCTGTTTCTTTCCCCTGTCWCACTCCGTATCTTTTATCTCCTTTTTTTYTCTCTCTCTCTCTCTCTTTCCGAATTATTTGTATTAGTATTAGTATTTCTTTGATTTTGTGACGAATTCATTAAACTCAACTCAACTCAACTCAACTAATAAAACTAGGGATTGATCCAAGGGTGCTGGGTTTGCACAAATAATTTTTTTTTTTAAGTGTTGAAAACATTTATCGCCATAAATTTTCACTTGGTTTACTTGCTGCTCTCAAATGATCGTTTTCACAATTGAGGATGTTATTTTCTCACGATTTTCCCGCCATTTTATGGGTCAGTCTTCTGTGCTATTGGTGTGAGGTACCCTGTAACATTCAACCCCCCTTTAAAAACCCTGGATCTGCTGCTATTAACATACTTGTATATCTTGATATCCCAGGTCCAGTTACCAACGCTCAAATCCTTCTTCGTCCAGCTCATCTCAATGAACCATTGCCCAAGACCTTGTGGCCTGTAATACAATCGTTCAAGAGACATCTCCAGTCTTCAGCAAAAACTAGTGATTCAGAACATCCTGGAAAGAGTATTCCAATGGTTCTTTGCGACAAATTAACTGAGGTAAGTAA